TCAGCTGCAGCAGCGGGAAGCACTGCAGGCAGGGTGACGTCCCTGAGAGCGGAGCATTCCTCAGCTCACGGCACGATGAAGCGCGTGTGAACTCGCTGGGCTCCAACCAGCTTCTGGGAAACAGTCTCTGTGCCTCAGCCTGATGTTGCACTGCCTCAGCACTGCTCACTTCTCCTCTTGGAATGAAATCCCTGCTGCCTCCAAAAAGAAGAAAGAAAGGCTTCAAGGGAGAGGATGACCTGGTGACTAAAGCAGCAGGCACTAACTAGCCCTTAATACTTCAGGGAAGCATCGCTGAGATGTACCTCGACACCTACAGTTTGAGTTCAGGTTTTAAAAGCACAGAAACTTTGGTGCCCATCCATGTGGAACAGTTTATGTTGCTCACACACCACCTTCGATTTTTACTAATGAAGAAATAAAAATGCAAACCAGCTCGACGGCAACCAGCACATACATGAGCAAACTGCCCAGCTGTGCCTTCATAACGCTCCTTGCTCTCTCCTCACTGCATGTTGAAGGTCACTTGGCTTAGATAAGCACATTAAGTCATCAGCAGGAAGATTAATTTAAAAGCTCGGTAACTTTCTTCCTTGTCTCTGGAATGTCGGTGGGGACCCAGGGCCAGACTGACAGTCCAACAGAGACAGCACAAACTGTTCACCCTGCCCAAAACAAGAGTGCCTCAAACTTTCCCCCCTGCTCCCTCCCTCCATCCCTCCCCCAGTTCTCTGGGTGACGCCTCCTCTCAGCCCGTTACCTAACTTTGACACAAACACGCAGCTCCCATGAGCATCACCTTCAAACAGCCCTGCATTTCTGGCTGAGCGCACCTCGCTTTAGGGGAGCAAAGAGTGACCACTGAGGGGTTCTGCGGCAGCTTGGAAAGGTAACCAGCCTGTGGGGTTTTTACTTTCTGTTTGCAATGCCTGACTAGTGCTTAAGTAGACGGACCAGAAACAGGCTCCTGGCAAACTGTCCTGCTGGAATTTGTAGGAGGAGAAAAGTCGCAATACAAACTCAGAAACAGATGTAGTAACTCTTTGGCTTACTTGCTTCCTGCAAGGAAACGGAGGCAGTTTTTACGATCAAGATCTAGAGTAAAATACAGAATTGCTGGAGTTCTTTTAGTCATAGGCGTCAGTTGTGTGTGTTTAAACACGCATCTGCATTTTTAGTTTCAGTTCATTACATTAGGCAGATTCAGCAAGCCGCAGTCCATGGGGATCACGCTCCAGATTCAGCAAGCAGCAGTCTGTGGGGATCATGCTGCAGCTGTCTTGCTCAGCCCCACCACAGGCTGCAAGCCTCCTCTCCAGCCACGCACCTGCAAAACACCCTTAATCCTTTGTGGCTTCTTGTCCCTTCTGCAGGCTCTGAATTGCCAAGATGCTTCTGCTCCTTTCTCTGGTCACTGGGCTCGCCATGTCCGCCTCTGGGGTCACGACAGACAAAGAAACTGATCCAAGCCAAGAGTGGTTTCAGGACATACAGAAGAAAGTGAACGACCTCTGGCAGAACTTGCTCTACCCAGTAATGCCTGGTAATGAGACCGACGGGATGATTTACGCCTCTTGTGAAATGAAGCCCAGCTCCAAAATAGATGCTGACAAGCCACAAGTGACTGGACAAGTCTTATTCAGACAGCATTACTCATCTGGAAGATTAGAAGCCATTTTTTACCTGGATGGGTTTCCACTGGATAATAATCAATCTGGTAGAGCTATACACATCCATGAGCTTGGGGATCTCAGCAAGGGCTGTGATGCTACAGGAGGACACTATAACCCCTTTAGTGTGAATCACCCCCGGCACCCGGGAGATTTCGGCAACTTTTTCCCTAAAGAAGGCAAGATCAGAAAATACAAACCGAATCTCTCTGCCACTATGTTTGGTCCGTATTCCATCATGGGCAGATCCGTTGTGATCCACGAGCAGGAAGATGACATGGGCAAGGGCAACAACAAGGCCAGTTTGGAAAATGGAAATGCTGGGAAGCGGCTGGCTTGCTGTGTGATTGGGATGTGCAACAAGAACTTGTGGGAAGAGAAATTGCCTGAGGTTACAGACAAGAAGAAGAGAGGGCTCAACAAAAGAACACAGAACCAGGCTTAAGTGAAGATCAACACAAGGGCTATAGCATGGGCAACACAAAGCACCTCGGGCTGTGCCACTGGCCACCAAGATACATGGCTAAAAGGCTTCTCATTTCCATTTACTTGCTCCTCTAAGAAACATGTATCACTTTGTAGAGCATCCTTTCTGTAAGCCCATCAATAAAAACAGCATCAACTCAACATTGTGATGTATTTTCTGAAAAAGATTCCCTTGCATGTAAGTAAGAGTTCTCATGGGTATGGTCCATAGTCTGTAAAGTGTCTGTGCACTGCAAGGGATCCTAAGTTAGATAGCAAAGGAAAAAGAAGTTAGTATGAATAAGTAAGAAATTGCCTCTCATTGGAGGCTATCCTGTACTTGGCTGCCAATCTGAAAAGTAAAAACATTTCTGTGCTTTCTGCAGTGCTGGGTGTTGTGTTGCAAGACCTGGAAAATGGACTTCCCCTAAAGACAAGGGAAAGTACAGACATTTCTCTTTTAAACTTTGGATCCATTATGTTATTCTACTTGTATTTTCAAGTTTTATTCTCAAACATGTGCCAACTTCTTAACTATTTTGTATTGTCTACATGGCTATGGGTAAGTCACACTGTTTACATCTGAAAGCAGACTTACAGGAAATACTCCAGTTTATCATCATTCCCTGGCAAAAAGTCCCTAAAGCCTCTAGTTTGTGCCTGTTAACAGTAACTAAGCTGTTGTTGTATCTGTATACAACCAGGACAGTTGTATATGGAAGTTTTGATGCTGCTTAAGCAGGGATGACAGAGTTAACAGATCAGACATAAATATTATTTTCAAAGTCAAGAAATACTGAGTGTGTTTCTTCACACAAAAATGCGGCAGTAAATCAGTCAGTTCAGACAGGGAGAAGTGACAGTGAAAAGATTTAAGCCCAGTAATTTTCAGCCTTAAAACTCTCACTCAATAAAGCTTTTGCTTTTTTAATTTAGCACATCTCACTGAAAACACTAAAACATTACCTCACGGCTATCATTCATCTGCTACTGAGAGGAGAAGAGGAAAGGAGCAGGTAGAACAAGCGGATCAGGAAATGTTTTTATTAAAGATGACAAAATGTATTAATATAGTTTAACCATGTTGTGCAGCAACAAAAGCGAGGTTTGCAAATAAATTAAACTGCATAATTTAGAAAGTAAAACTACAAAACAGAAGCTTGTAAACAAAATCCTATCTCTTAGACACGCAGCAGACTTTCAACTTCATCTCAGTTAAGATTTTGAAATACATTCCTGAGCCCATATGGATTAAGGAAATGCCACTATCTTTATTATACAAATTCGCCATATGCTTAAAAATAGACTCACTTAGAAAAGAAGCAGCTTTCTAACAGATGTCATTAACCTGTCATTCTCACACACTTATTTTACAAACTCAGTGAACACTGTTTTTCAGACAACCACTGCATCCCACTTTCAGGTGAACTCCTTCTCACAGATAATGAATGCATCAAATCACTTCTAGGTGAGACAAACTCCGTAACACTCAGTTTGTGAAATGCACCATACCCCTGCCACAACATCCCTTTCCTAGTGTGTTTCCCCAAAGCCCAGCACCAAAGGGCTTATATATCTGAATGCAATTTCTGCATTTCTAAAGTCCTAGAAAAAGGAAGCACAAGTCTAAGGCCCCTGCCTGCCTCTCCCCCCCCCCCCCCCCCCAAAACAACAAACAACCCAACACTGAAGTAGTGTTGAGTGATAAAACACTAATTAATTTACTGGGAAAACAATCATGGTTCTAATAGCACAACAATAGCAATTAAAACAATATCCAAGAAAGATACTGATGATAATATTCAATTAGTTATCACGTAGCGCAGCAAAGATGTCTGTCTTTTACAAATCTGCTGGCTCTGAAGCCCTGTGCTCCTGGGAGAAGGCTAAAACCGTAGCTAGAATACACCTGTACTAGGGCAGAAAGGAGATGGGCAGTACTGCAGCAGTGACACAGCACTGAAAATTAGGTTTCCAGAGACCTAGATATCCTACTGGAATTTAATGATTGCAAAGATAAAAAATGGCATCTAAGAGGGAGAATGGAGTGAGGATAATTACCAAGATGTCCTAGTTGTTGCCTTGTACATCACTGTGTTCTCACGGAAAGAATGTGAGAACATAAGAGGAATCAACAAATGAGGCATTAAAAGGCTGTTGGTCCAACACTCTTTCTACTGGCTTGATTTTTTTGCACCAAGCTCTTCATTAACTAATAGAATTAACTGGCTGCTAAGAGACCAGGAGCAGAATGCCAACTTACACAACTGTGGGTCAGGAAAGACATGGGGCAGGGAAACAGCATAGCACCCTCAATGTTTTGAGCTCAGCTACATAGAATCTTGACCTTATTCGCTTGCCTCAGTTCTGACTGCATTGGTATTTAGCTCAGGATTAGTCTGTGAAAGATGGAAAAGAATATATCTTGAACAAAATCCTACTTCATGTGACATTCAAGCATTAAAGGAAAAAATCCTGCCACATTCTCCCAGAGATTTCAGTTTCCGCAGCTATTTCTCTTCCGACTTGTCAGCACTGTCATACGAATGAGTCAATAATGCAGTCAGTTACAATTAATGGGAACAGCATGACAATCTTTCAAATGCTTAAACTCTTCTTGCATTTTTCAGGTGATGAGGAACTTGAATGGTCAGCAGGATAATGAAATAAAAACTTGTTACTGCTTCATGTCCCTAATACACTTAAATATACAGATGTTTTCTGTTCCTAAGGGCAGCTGCTTAATATCAGTGAAATGCTGCAATGTCGAACTACCTTTCAAGAGAAAGGAAACATACTTGAGGAGCACTTTATTGCCTGCAGACAGACACTGAAATGGCTATATGAATGGCTATATGAATGAGAACAGTGACAAGCCACGTTTTTTACCTTCTCACCATCATTCCTTATATTTATATGTAATGATTTACACAGAGCCTTTCTTCTGCTGAATACAAACTGTTCATGGATTCTGACACCTTGATTATGGCAGCACCTGCTAGCTCATCTTCGATATACATAAGAGTTTGTCCGTACTGCTAATATAAACTCTGTTTATTCAGTAGCTGACAAGTGGGCTGTAAAAAATTTGCAGCTGGCAGTTATTTGTCAAAGAAGTACTCAATCTGGGAGGGATTCTTCTTTTTATTAGTAGTATTTTATTAAATTTGGTTTAATTCTCTCTGATTGGTTTCAAGTTCTAGGAGTGAGAAATGAACATTTACAGACAATTAGGTCCCAAGCCAGCAGAAAAATTGCCTTGATGGCTGCTGGCCCATAGAAGCTCCACAGCTGCAGAGACTATTCCTTATGCTACAAACAGGAGAGGAAGGACCTGCCTCCCTTCTCCAACAGCTGCTGACTTCAATGTTAAGTATCCCCTTGTTGCTGCCTTCCTAGGAGCAGAGTGGCACAGCTCCAGCATCAGGAGCAAGCTAGGGAATGACACAGCAGCCTCCTTTTCCCCTGGTTATTATAGGAATGTTTTCCTATGGCTAAACATCAAGGGAAGAAATTTTAGAAAGCAGGAACACTGCAAATAAACCTTCTACCACACTATAGACTGATGAAATGAGGAGGAAAGGAAGAATTATCCTTAATTCCAAACCATGAGAAAATAATAAGAGACACAGATTCCTTTAAAAAGGAGAGCACAGATGGAACAAGCTGAAATCTACCACCCGTTACTCAGCCCGAGGGCTGTTCCAGCTCCTGTAAGCTGAGGAATGCAATTCCAGTAACTGAGAGTGCCAAGTAGGTGTAGAAGGCATCACTGGATCTCCTCTTGCTGTTCTCCTTGCTTTGGAACAGCAATGCCATTTCTCACTGAAAGATTTCTGGCTTCTCTGGTGAAGTTTCCTTCAGAGCTTCATTAAATTGGGTTCTCAGGATCTGGTGAAATAACTCCCTGCTTTTTGATGAGATGAGCTGAGAGAGGGAAGGAAAAAATTCATACAGTCGAGAAGATATAAAGTTTTGCAATGAGAGAACTATATATATATATATATATGTATATATACACACAGGAATGGTTTTCAGAAACTTCCCATAAGGGAAAAGTGATTTTATTCTAAGGATGTACTTAAATCACTAGATATAAAGAGAAATAGAACACAGTGTGAGAAATGAGCAAAAGCTTGCAGCCTTAAGATGCTTCTCAATTTATCATCCCAAATTCTGCATCTTTGGTAGGCACTTCTAACCATTAAAATATGGTCCAGCACAAGGGCCAAACATGTTACAGAAGCCTAGTGATAACATGATAAATCATTATCATTGGTCTCTTTGCTACACTAATGTAAATTACACCAATCTATGAAGAAATTTCAGATCATTACAAAAACCCAAGATGATTAAACCTCATTGCTAATTCTTTCCCTTAGGTAATTTACATTTTTGGCACACTGTAGCCAAAACTAACAGAAAATAACCCTTATTAGACAAATATTAACAGTTGAATGTAAAAATCAGCCCTATGCACACTGTTTCATTGATCACATTCAGAGCAGCACAGACACTGCAAAAGGATTAGTGAGATGCTCGAGGGCCTGGATTTCATACCTCAAGCCAAACTGTTATCCAAATATTCACAATTTTCAGCAGGATCAGATGGTTTCTTGCTTTCATATTCACGGAGCTCCTCAAAGCTCTTATTCGTGTGTGCATTTGTAACACTGAGCCCTCCATGCCTTTCAAGGACCTCAGTATACACCACACCCACGGTGCTATTTTGATCCCCTTTTTCATTTGGAATGTCACAATCACTCTCTGAGGTTTCATCATTGTCTTTCAGAGCCTCGATTTCAGGTGTTTGTTCATTCTCCGAGTTTGAGGGATCTGTAGGGTCGGATGGGTCAGGGCTGGAAAGTGGGAACTCTCCCTCAGATGAACCATTAAGCTCTGCTCCAACCACCGTGTTCTGCTCTCCTGTTTTCCCTTCCAGTTCTGCAACTGCCTGCTCTGTCAGTTTAATTATCTGACTTCCGAGCTTGTTTATTTCTTCTTCCTGGGAACGTAGCTGGGGTAATGAAGGGTAAAAATGTTTATTCTGGTTCCTGTTATTTAAGTTTGTTCCCTCTGGAGCCAGGGACTCACTTGCAACAGGACAAGCTGCATCACCTTCTCCCTTCTGTTCTGCTAAAAGAGAAATGAACAGTGAGATGCTCTAGTCAGTCACAGGCATTTATTATATATCTGACCTGAAGACCATCATCATCAGTGCCAGACCACAAAGATGTCTACCTCAGTAAGGAACTGTCAAGAGTGATTCCCTATCCCACCCTAGGCTCATTTCTCAGATCATAAGCAATCAGTGTAAGTTTCTTGCCCTGTTTTAAAGCCTGTCTTTCACCAACACTGACAACTCTGAAAAAGTCATAGTTGATACCATACTGTAGAACAGCAGGGTCAGGCAAATTTTTTCAAAGGAATATGAACTCTAAGCAAGGCATTCAGCTACAGAAATTTTTGGCACAGCTTAACATTAATCCCCACATCACTAAAACTTTCAGCGGTTAACACAAGCTCCATTTATTCTGAGCTTTTCACAGGCTTTCATCCAATAAGGAAGTTTCTTTACTGGTCCTGCAACATGTCTCCTGACATAAAAGATTATTCTAATTTGGGTAACAGCAGAAAACAAAGCAGCAGTGGACAAATTCCAAATACACCATTATACCAAAAGGCAAACACTGAACCAAGTGTCAGAAGAGAGAAAACAGCAAAGTGTAAACAAACAGCTTTGTGAAAGAGAGCGGATTTGTCCCCATCTCAGTTAAGGACAAAAAGCCTCATTGACAACAAGCTTGCAAAGTCTAGTAAGAAAAATTAGGGAATGCCAGAAGTATGGCTGCACTGACAGCTTAAAATGACTCTTGGTCATGCAGATGCATTACCTCTTCATATATGAGCATTTACTCTCTTTCTCTGGCAGGAATCCTGCCTCACGCAATGCACTGCTCTGCTCATGTTATGTATCTGATCATACATACTCAAAGTGCTCCAGAAAGCCAAAACTTGCATACGTCAAATCTGCATTCAAAATTAGTAGGGACTCTACCTTATTGTGTCCCTCAGTTTACTCCCTCTATAGCGGTATAACACCATCCCTTCACATTCCTGCAATTTTCTAAAGATAAATGGTTTCAAAGCACTGTATCACCAGAGAAAAGTTCTTAGATAAACAGTACTTCTGTCTTCAGGGAATGCTTGAAATAGCACACAGGCAATACAGCAGGAACAATACATTCAACAATGAAGAGGAAAAAAACCCAAATAGCTGTTCATTAGCAGCTGAGATGCTCAAGTACAATCTATCCCACGACACTATCCACCCTGTGCACTGGGTAAAGTGAGATTTGGTGGCACAAGACAGTCTTGAATTCATGGATTGCACTAAGTCATTATGCCTTTTCACACAGGAACTGCACAGTATATCCTACAGACTTCCACCATCCAGCATAACTGCAGCAATGATAACATGCGCAATTGAAAACAGGCCTTGATGAGACCAGGGTAAGCACAGACAGATTATACAAAAAAAAGCCTGAAAACGCCCTCTGATTATTATCAGATCTAGCTAGAGCAACATTTGATGTGTTACATAAAGTTCTGATAAGAATGTATGTTCCTAAAAAAGCTAAAAAACGTTCCCTGGGCCAAATATCAATGGTACTGTTTAAAGGACCATAGTTGACCGACATGACATCAGGCCTAGTATTTAAAGACCACTATTCTCCTTATCAACTGTTTTCACTCGACTGATCATTCAACTAATAGGAGAATAAAAGTGAGTTTGTTTTATTTCAGGAATACTTTTAAGCCAAGAGCATACTTGCTGCTAAACTAAGGCAGGTGAATACATTCTTACACTCTTCCCAGCTGCCAAGCTCCTCCAGATTTTGGAGGTACACTGCACAGATGAGAAATTGGAATATGCACCAAGCTCCTAAAATTCAGCAGCACAGTCATTCCCCATGCAGAGCGGCACAAAAGGTGACTCAGTATCACTGCCATATAGCTGCTGACTGCAGAGGAGCTGTGCCCTACTACCCACCTACTCTAGTCTTCCCATTGCTTGAGAGTCCTGATCTCAGCCTTCCTTTCCTCTGCCCCGGGCTTTGCTCCCTTTAGGTTTACATTATCTTGAAGGAATGGTGAATGCAGAGGTTTACCAGTGATGGTGGCATAAAGCTAGCTCAAGAGAATCACTGGGTTGGCTTTTAGCTATGAGATTTGAAAGTGAATGGTTGAGAATGGGTTGGAAACTTCAGCCTGTTTTCTGAGGGTGGAAAACTTCTCAGATTTCTAATTCCTTTCAATTACAGATATACTAAATGCTTGCACATAAAAACCCCACCCAACAAACAAATAACCCAACCAACAAAAACAAAATACCCACAAAACAACAACAAAACCCAAATTAACAAAAGACCCAAAATGCACAAACCAAACAAAGAAAAAAAGCCCAAACCCAAGCCCCACATGGTCATCAGAATCTAACACAAACAAGTTATTTGGCTGACATTAAAAAAACCAGCTGAAGTAGAAAACACAGCATGGAAAGCTTCAGCCCAGAGCTGAAGTTTGGCAGTATTACAAGGCAACAGAAACAGGGTCTGATGAGATTTGACAGGCAGCTTTAATCAAAACTGTAATACCAGCCTCACCTCGGACAAATACGTAAAGGAAAGAGCATAATGCCACCAAGTAAATACTTTCAGTAACTGCAGATTTAATTAGAAATCAACGATTAAGAAAGCAAAAAATGAATATTTATGAGTTGTTACTACTCACCAGAGAACTATGCACTATAGTTTCACATCTTATTTTTAGCAAAAATACCAGCTGATCACGATTATTATAACAAATGATCAGTCCGGCTGTCAAGTTTGATCAGACGATGACATGGATAATAAAGTCAAAATTAAGCCACAATCTATTTAGTTTCAGGATTAACAAATAAACAGTTTATGATACTTCATGGTTAACTGAGTGAGAACCTGGCATACCAAAATGTTATGCCCATTAAAGAGCTTATCCAAATGCCGATAGGCAAGCATAATAATCCATCTCCATCCATTATGAAAAACTAAGGAAAAAAAATCAAGGTTATCAGCAAAACAATATCTGCTCCTACTGTCAAAGTTAAGCTTGTCTTTGGAGAGATGTCAAAGCTTTCTATTGGGGAGGGATTTTTAGCAAAACACATGCAAGAGTATAAAAAAAGCAGTCAATTTCTCTGGGAAAAACAAGTCAGGAATTTCAATCTACTTGGGTGCAGTCATGAAGCCATTCATCTAGATATCAGCTATAATGCAGTAAAGTGCTAAACCAGTTCCATAGACTGCTTCCCTCCTGTGCATTTTAACTGAGGTAAAAAGAGTAGGAGGCAGTTAACTGTAACATAGATTGCATGAATAACTTCTCACAGTATAAAGTTATATGGCAGGAAAACTCCTTGAGGTGTAAGACCTGATCCCTCACCCTGTGCAATCTATTCAGTGGTTAGTTTTCAGTTGTTTCTTTGCTATTTGCACTGGGACCATGCAGCCATTTTACTTGTGGATGATTTACTCAATCTCTGTGACTACCGAATCTTTGCCTTCTGCTAACCCAACATGAAATGTATTCCTTTTTATTTGGAAAGAAATAAGTGCTCAGCTCTCATCATGTTCCCCACGTTCCAGGTGCTCACCTTGTACTTCAGTTTTCAGTGGCTTATCAGTAAACGCTAACAACGGTGACCTGGACCGCTGTGTAACAGGCAAGCTTGGGTCACTGAACGTTATAGTATCCTTTCCACCTGAAACAATCCAAGTGTTAGAACCATTAATTCACCAAATAAATCCATTGTGCACTAGTGATATTCAAACATATCCTACAGTATTTTTGCAATGCTATGGAAAAGTACAGAACAGGAAAAGCATCTCAAATGATCCTTCTACAGTATGGAAAAAATGCATGTTCCAGCTCCAGTACAGAGTAAGTCAAATGCAGGGAGGGTGCATGTTTTTACCTTCCGTACTGAGTAAAGGACAGATTTTGAAAGACAACCAGGTGCTGCATGCAGCAAATTGTATTGGCAATTAGCATTCAATCCAGAATATTAATAATAAGATCATACCAGAAGTTTTACAAAGAGTAATGGATCATTTGCATGCTATTAACCAGCAAGCATTCAGCACTGACTCTTTACTCTCTCTTACTGTGCCTCAGTGATCAACCTGCTTGTATCACGTATGTAGTTGTATGCTACAGACTCACTCACATATTATCTTACAATGCTCCCTTAAAAAAAATAAGAATATGAAAAGCTTAGCATAACTAAGTACTGAGAGAGTAAGGGATTTTAATCTGAAAATTCCAAAAGCATTTCTGAGCATTTTCATTTGAAACCAAATGGAAAAGGGCAATTTTCCAGCTCTTTTGCAGACAAAATAGTGCAAGAAACTTTTCAGCTGAGGACTCTGCTGTAGAGGCCTAAACCTTACATATTTTAGCAATACAAAAAGCAACACCTGCAGATCCTTCAGGAAGTCCTCTGCTATTCACAATGCTCAGGTTTTTAGTGACTGACACTACCTTAAACCTAGAGGGGAAATGGCAGGAAATGTGCAAGATCAGCTAAGCATGGTGTTTGTGTGGCCTCCAGAACAACTGCCAGCCGGTAAGTAATGGCTGGGGAGGCAGCAAGCTACTGCTCTATTTATCTCCATAAGAATAGACATTTATGTAACAACCACTTCTCCCCTCTAAATCTGCTTGTACGTTTCACCTTAAGGCAACATCCTAAATCTAATCACCCATCCAAGACAAAGACTTTCAAAAGAGCATCAGGTCAGGAGATACCCAGAATAAATCCAGCTCTGAGAAAGTTCTGGTACCTACTAAGAAACAATGAAAGTCAAGCTGTTCCCATGGAGTCTAAACTGGTCCACCCCAATCCCTAACTAATTTTGAAAGCACTGGCTGTAAATACCTTGATCCTGAAGTAATTACTGACGTTTTTTATATCCTTAACATTTTGGGGTACATACTATAACAATATGAATGCAATTAATGCTTTTGAAAAGTGGATCTTGTCAAGCTTTGACCTCCCTGCCAAGTATGCATCAGAATTCTGCCTTCACCATAGCATGTAATAAACAATAATGTTAACTAACAGCAAAGTGGAGAACCCCCCTGTGTAAGGCAAAATTAATTAAAACAGGGGGAGGAAAAAAAAAGGCAAACCAAATCCGATGGCTATCTCAAAATGCAAAAGCCTGGACGAATGCGCTTTGCTGCAACAGGGGAGGAATTTTGTGTTGGAAGAACTAAATCATTCAGGGAATTAGTGGTATGAAAACATCCAACAGATATTTATAAAGAATCAGAAGTGGCCACATATCCATAAAGACACAAATTAATGCAACAGAGGAAGTAAAATTAAAAAAGATTAATTATTAATAAAAAAAATGGGGGGGGGGCTTTAACAGGGAAGTAGAAAGGTAGCAAGCAAAGGCTTTTTCTTTTGGTTTTGAATTAAAAAAGGACAGCCTGAGCTGAAGTCCAAAAAGACTGCAAGACAAGCTTCAAAAAAGAAACTTCTTGACTTTCAGCCAGCATTTACAGAGTACACTGATTTACTTCCACATCTTAGTCTGAAAACCAACTTGGTTACAGAAAATAATGCTAAGCTCAGTATCCACACATCTAAGCAACAGATGTGGCCCAAAGAGTCTGATGCATATTTAGTTATTAACAGTGACTCACACCCATTCATATAGGAGGGTATTGCTGCACTATATTCCATTAATCATGGTCTGAAGTTGGATTACACACAGGGCATTTCCTTCAGCTGCTGTGTAAACTCCGTTTCATAACTTATACAGCCTTATGTTCCTCTATTTGATGAACTTTTCAAGGACTTTAGTGAAAAGCATACAGATCTCAAATATATATATAAGCAAACAAATCAGTTTTCAGTAGTAGTAAATTCTTCAGTTTCTTTTCCAGGGTTGGGTAACCTCTCACAGCCTCTGCTGCACCCTGTAACTGGGTGGACTGCTGACTATACTCAGCAGCTGCTGAGCCCATTATTTTTCCCTTGCTTTTGCTTCACACTGATTACTGCAGAGCAAGAGGCAGCGCCGAAACTTTCTTATCATCCCAGACAGAAAAAGGCTGAGTCATGGCTGGCTCTTTTCTTAGACTTTTTTTTTTCAGTGGAAATCTTGAATTTTCAGGAAAGGATAAATTCCAAAATAGACAGAATTACCTATTGTGAGAGGAATAAGATGGTGCTTACTATGAGCTATTACTGAATGCACAATATATTATGTGTGCATATTTGAACCACAATGCACCCAAGACAAAGCAATTAATTAAATCTTCTGCAAACATCACATTCTCTGCTTCCTTCTCAAGGCAAAGGGGCTCCTAACAAGAAAATCAGAGCCAAATCTAAGCCCCAGTTTGCTTTCTTTTCAGCAATGAACATCACAAGAGATTTGCTTAATTAAAGCCCATTTTCCAGACAGGGGAAGCTATAGTTTGTGGTAGTTAGAACTTCTGCAGAAAATGAACTATGCTACCAGCTCCACCTTTCAAAAATTAAATACGCAGTCTTGATTTAGCTTCCCCATAGCTCATTCATGCACTGTTCAAAAAGCAGATGACATATTTGTCACCTAACAAAAAATTAGAAGCGGTCAAGCTCTTTCTTCAATAGGATAAATTTTATTAACATCATTTATTAACATCATTTGGAAGATATTAATATCATGGTGACAGCGGATGTTATAAATGTTATATGGACAATGATGCCTAAGTAGGAACATTAACTTCAGATTAAAACCCTGCAATTTATAATATGTGTTTCTTTCTGTGCTAGACTGAACATCAGCTTTCAGCTCTGTATTTTTTTCCAACGAAAAAAAGTTCATTTCTCAAGCAAATAATACTTTTTGTCTCTGGATTTAAGACTGACTAGGCTCAGATACTCCCCATGTTCTGCCCCTCACCAGAGCGAACATTCAGCTGCAGAGTCCACTGTGGTAGTTCCCACACTATTTGTTATACGCTGCTGTTCTGTGTAGCGGAAGCTTTTCATGCTCTGAAAAGAAAATTGGTGACCTACCAGGTGTTGCAAGGCTGTTTCTGACCACCTTGGGACTAGAGTGCACTTGGAAACAAAAGTGCACTCTTTATTTAAAAGGCAAGCATCAACTCAACAAACCTTGGGGCTCAACAGAACTTGCAATCCAGTGTAAAATTCCTTTACCACTATTTAACATCGTCCTTTCTTACTGTTTTTCTCAATTTAAAGAAATTGTCTTGTAGAGCAGTCTCTATTTCTCTTGTGGTCATCTAACTCGACTGAACATCCTAACCTGCTGGATATAAAAATGTTCAGATAACATTTCTGTTTATTTCCATGCAGTGACAATATTTAACGTACTGCTAAAATCAGTTACTAAAAATATATGTTAAGCAGAACCTACTCCCAAATCCCACTGAGATATTGTAGCTCAGGCCTTCAGGCAGCAAAAGAAAGGAAGGAAAGAGACAGTTGTTATTGTACAAATATTCATTTGATGTCTTACCTACATAGAACAACAATGGCGCAAGAAGTTCCCACTGTCCCTTTGTTTTAATATATTTTGCACAGATTAGAAACTCTGCATTTAGTAGTGTATGAATTTCATTGAAATTTTTTAAAAACAAACAAAACCCAATCAACAAAACAAAAAACCCAACGAAACAAACCTACAGTACCTTAAACTGGTGAGTTTATGATACACATCTGTATTAATGGACAAAACCACATTAGCAGAGTCTTAGACAAATAGTTCACCTGCATCTTTTGGAGAATGTGGGGAGGGACAAATGCACTAAGTACACTATGTATGGTTAAGTGACTAACTGAAGAGTAATCCATGGAAACAAATTTGGGACCTTCAGTTCTGGAAAGCATCAAGAAGAGAGCCAGTTCCAGAAAGGGGACTGCAAGCTAAAGGGGAAATACACCACATTAGGCCAAACAGCTGAACACTGCAGGTTTGTCACAAGGTGCCTTCAGCTTTGTCAAATGTTTTCTTCTAGATGTAAGGGTTAGGTGGAAAAAAACAGAGCCAAAAAGACACAAGCCTAAACAACACTACCTTCCACCCCCAGCAGCACTGACAGGAAGCCGTAAACAACAAAGCCTAATGATTCAAACACCAGCAATGGAGAAGCATAATTTACAGTGGTTAAAAAAGACACAATTACGTGTAATGGGAAGAAAAGAAGCAAAAAGTAAATGTAAATTAAATATTGCACATTTTCCTAACAGCGAGGTCTATTAGGAAACAGATTAATCTCCCATTACTTGAGTAATTCAAAACCAAATACAATACTTAAGATGCTACAGGGAATAAGCCTGTTCTGGAGAGATGGACTAGAAAATTTAAGATCATTTACATTTCAGTTTCTTAGAGTTTATGATTTTACAGGAAAAAAATAATTAAAAATACAGTGACAGAATCCGTGGAAGTTGCTAGAAGTAAAAAATTAATAAATACAACTTGTTGAAAAACATAATGGCCAATATCCTGTATATCATTTTAGACAATGTTTCAAAAAAATAGTTCCCTTTCGTTTTTGCCTGTAGACTGTGGAGACAATTCAATTATTTCCAGTATGTAAATTTATTTGTTTCCAGTATAGATATTTGACTTTGAGTTTAAAAGAGTCCTGTGATTTGTGGTTTCAACTTCACACTTATCGGGAGTTTCTAATTTTGAAAATGTGCTGAACAGCACATTCACAAAATAACTGTCATTAAAAAAAAGTACAGCCAAGGTTTTCTTAAATGCAAATATGTCATTGAAACTAAATAATGCAGGCGGTTCTCTTGAATTTGTACTAACCTGGAAGACTCCATAAGCCAGCAATTTCCAAAGTTCTTAGTTTCTTTTCTAGTTCTGCCACTCGGTTACCTAGAATTCTTGGAAAAAGAAAACAAAAAAGCCAGGGATAGTCAGCTGAGATAAGCTTCCTTCTTATACTAAGGTAACCAAAGTCTAATTGCTTACAGACTACAGCTGAATTTTTAACTTGTTACTTCACTAGTGCACTAAACCTGTACAGGTCATCTCTTCTCACTAATGGCAATGGGCAACCTCTCCCAGAGTTAAAAGAAAATGAAATACAGTTATCAAATCTATCCCATGGCTTTAAAAAATAAAAAACATCTGGGATGTACTGGACATTCAATCTTTGGTAAAGATGAAGAATAGCAACTCACAATGTATCTACTTCCTCACCTGTAAATATGTCTTCCCAGTTATTTTTACTTTCTCTTACAGCAAAAAGCAGAAAGATAAAAGCTATGCAGACAAAATACAGAAAACTCAAGACAACATTTAAATTGATTTTGAAATTCTAAACCACAATTTTGGCATAGTCCTTTATTCACAGAGGTTTCTCTATCACTAAGATTGATTAAAATGGCAAAGAATATCTTTTCCACTACATCTTTTCTTTTTGTGCTGAACTCCATTTTGTACTTCACTAAAAAGCTTCAAGCTCTTCAGTGCCTTTATCACCCTCTCCTAGTTTTCACTGCATTTCTTGGGTCATCTCTTCTTTTGTATCTGATTCCTACAAAATGCTATTTGCAGCTAGCTCTCCTGCAGGATTTAACTTTTAGTCTTAATTCTCTCCCCAGATCAAATAAGAGATTTCTATCTTGCAAAGAAAGCTCTTTTTTCCAATGATCTTTTTGAAAGTGTTTCTCTCACAGGCACAGCAAGTCTCCTGGAGTCACAAGTCTTTAAATAAATCCAAAACAATACTCAATAGAGTGAGAAACCTGGACGAGGAAGCAATTCTAAACATGACAGCAGAGATAATAAACGGTGAGTTTTACTCATCAAATTACAGCAACAGGATAAGTCAGTTAAATTTGAACTGAATGCTGAGAAGCAGCATACCACAACACAGCTAGGCAACAGCATCTTCCCATGCTCACCTGAGCTGCGCAATACTGCACTGCGTGCTCTCCAATGAGGGTTTTATGCTGCAGACATTTGAGCATACTGGGAATGTCATTACTGACAAGATAGCAAAATCTGGGAAGGACATGAAGAATAGCAAACCCAGCAAATACCAAAGGGGCTAGAAAAACTGATTAACAAGGACTATTTTTTAAATCTCTACATGAGGGCTCTGCAATGACACTATAAAAGCCTGTAAGCATTTTAAAGATTACAAAAATATCAGCATGAGAGAAAGAATGTAAAAGAGAAACAGAAAGCTTTTAATAGCTATCAAAGAAAGCACTGACAGGTACAAGGGTGTATATCAACAAACAGTCCATCATATTTACAAGCAAAGGAGAGAAGACACTTGGGAGCAGTTATGTTTATTTCCCCATTGAAACTCAGTAATCAAATAGGTTACCAAGGTTATGATGGATCTGTTACTGTCTTCTCCAATGGCAATTAAAATTGTTCAAGTCTAGGTTTCACTTTCAGAATGCTTTCATCATAAGAGACTCAGCCTTAACAACTCTATTTTCATATCCCAGGGCATGCCAGACATCCAGCAACTGTGCTCTGCAGTACAAAGGTGATGGAGAAAGACACAGAGCAACTTTCAAGAAGCTGTACTGGGAGCCCACTCCATCTTTGTGTCTAAGGTCCCACCAAGGTTCAGCTGAAGAACATGGAGTTCCCCTGACTTAGAAGGGCAGGAAACAGAGATTCCATGTCATATTAGCTTATCGAGGGAGATGACAAAAAAATGTTGATTTGGCTAATGACTGTCACCACAAATGGGTCACAAGTTTAGTACTTCTGCCAGGAAAAGAAAAAATCCTTATTATTTTCATAAGTAGTATACCAGTAGTTCCAGGGCAGAAAACTGTGGAAAGATACTGCCCTCCCTGTCAGCTAGCCTATCGCAGAAAGAAACTCAACCCTCTGCATCAAGTTCAGTTATTGCTACTGCTCTTGTTATTCAGACAATAGCAAAGTCACTCTTCTTTTACTTCTCTTAAATATTATAATACATTTATCAGCTGTACCACATGATTTCTAAACGTTTTGGAGGAAATATATCCTGATAATTCCTGCTGGATCCTCAGAAGAGATGCTGAGCTATTTTTTAACCTTTGTTGCAGGTTCTCACATAGAAGGATCATTCTGCTGCTCTGAACAATGATTGGCAAAAAGAGAGGACAATGCTTAACCCTATTCCTTTCATTCAGGAAGAGAGCAAAATACATTCAGTGATGTGTATGATTCTAGTTTGCTTCAAGCCATGTTATCTGAAGATAGCTATGGGAGAAATGAACCCTACATAAAGCTGCAAGTTCTTACAGAACCATTTTTGAAAAACAGATGTGCAAGCACACCTGAACGCCGTGTGGCTTATCCCATTCCTTTCTTTCCCCTGTGACCTCCAGATAATTTGTCATCTCCATACGTGAAGATGGAGAGAAGCTGTGTGAAGACTGAGCTGTGGTGGCCTGGAACTGCAGGTATTTTTAAAGGGGCTGAATAGGTTGGTAGCATCAAATTCCCTAATCTATTTTCTTATCTCTAGCCATAGTGGACCAGATCCTTTGACTAAAGTACAAGGATCATGTTGACAAAGGTGCTGACAGCCATTTCTGTGGTTCTCTGGTCATGTGTCTAATGCAACGAGGAAGTTAGTCTAAACCTCCCTCCAGGATAAGGTTTAACAAAAATCTATTTACATAATAGCAGCAATGCTCCCATCTGAATTTAGAAACTCCCTGCTGGCTCTTCCATGCTTCCCAGCATACATGGCTGTAATCTGAAAGGAGCTGTGTTGATTTACAACACCTGAAATCTATTCACCTCACTTTCAATTTAGATCTTGCTACAGAAGGCATACAGACACAATCACTCAAATGTCTGTTAATAGGGTCCGTCACGGTCATGTATCTAGTTCTGTACATCACATGGAAACATTTACAGACTGACACAATCCTTTTTGTCATTTTGGTCATGACTGAGCTCGCCCAAGTTAGAACTGTTAAAATTAGTCCAACATGACCAAGTAGCAGAGCAGCTTCTACTGCTTCTACTGCAATTTCACCTGGCTTACATGGGTTCTGGCGATTTCAGGAATAAACTGCACTAAAAAGAACATCTAATAAACCATTTACTGCTGGCAGAAGAAAAAAGATTTTTTATCCACTTGCTAGGCAGGGTTAGGACTGTTTCTTTTTTCATTTCTGTAACTATTTAATCTTGCAACACATTACTGCATAGAGAACTCATTTACAGCTGCCTTTTCAAATTAAGCTAATGTGCTTGTGAGGAGAAACATAGGATGTTACTTAAACTTAGCAGTACTCGCTACAAATCACCTGGGGAAAATGATCTGTTTTCTTCCCAAACAACTTTTTTTTCTTAAAAGTGGGGCTAGAAAAATAAAGGCTGGATTTAGCCTACTTGTTCCTAGGCACATACTCCCACAGCTCCTTTTATCATGGCACATATTTAGAAAAGCGACAATAATAATAGTGTGTCTGTTCCAAGAGCAAGTGGCAACAGATGTTTTTAACAACAGCATAACATCAGAAAGTCAACTTCAGCAGCACATCCAAATTCTAATCTACACTTTAAAAACCTACTATCTTGTTATTGCTTCGGTTAATCAGAAACCAAATCTACCATTCTGCTATTGTAAATTTATACAGCCATCTCTCAATCTGCACGCAACAAAAGAGGCTTTGGTTTTACAGTAGGTTAACTGTTTGGAGGACAGTAAGTTCACACAGTCTGAAAAGTTTCATTTACTGATAATAGAATCACTAACAGGTCAATCATCCATCAAATATCCAACTCAGAATTACCCTGAATGAAACAACTACCCCAAAACCTCACATTCTTTATCCGATAAATCTCACTTTCTTCGAACAACAAAGAGTAACCATGCCCTCCAAACATGCTCTTTGTGCAGGCAAAGCCAGGCAAACAGGACAGAGGGGTGAAGGAGAAGACTTCTACCTTCCAGTTTACGTAAAACTTTTTGTCACTACAATTCTCCCTAGCCCCATATCTTTCTCAACTTCCTGGAGAATGGAGAAATACCTTCAACAAAAGAATGCATCTTCTACTAGTACCAGTTTATGGATCTGTTTTACTTGTGCACTCTGACAGATGGGCAATTTCTTTTCAGAAATTAGCAGTCTTATCTTGTAACTTCTTGCATGGCAGATAAGTGCCCCCAATAACCAGCTAATGCACCTCAAAAAAGGGATGTTTTTCCCTGATATCCTATCTTGCATTTCCCTTTTTCACTTTAATGTTTTTGTGCCTTAAGTGTTTCTACTTGAAATAGTTCTCATTCCTTCTAGCCTCTTAAAAGCTTCTTTAATCCAACTAAAGCCAAAGGTGACAAAAAGAATGAGTATACCATACAGGAGTGCTGCTGAGGCTCTTCACTCAACTTCCCCAGGATTTATCCTTTCCTTTTCCCCACCTTCCGAAGCATCCTGAATGAATACAACACTACAGCTCTGAGCACAGTCCTGACCTGGGAGAGATGTGGACTGTCACCTCCTTCTAAGACCTGAACTTCTATTAGGCACAGAATAATAGTTCGTGCACACATCCAACCTCTACTCTCGTGGCTATGTATGGCCATTTGGGTATGCAGATGAAAGAATCATATCTCCTTGTGAAAGGAGACCCATACTCAATAGTTGAAAGCCAGACAGTGGTATCAGAAAGTGAAGCCATCATTGCAGTGATACAGTTGAGAGATACAAAAATGAAGAAAGAAGGTTGCTATAGGCAAGAGTATGCAAACTAGAACACTGAGTAATGATACAATATCTGGATGTAAAAGGCTGGTTATACCTGGAATAACAAATAACAAGCAAAAGTTGTTCTCTGAATGTTTTCCTTCTGAGGAAAGGGAGAGGGGAGTAAGCAGCTGTTAGCCCTTCATTAGCACTGCTCAGTGCAGGAACTCTTCTTGCATTCCATGACACACTTACAGACATGAACTGACTAAGCTGCCATCAGTTAGATATGGGCTACATTTTCATTGCTTTAGTCTCCCTTTAGGCATTTGCTTTCTCAAGAGTATTAAGAGTGGCTATAAACTGCTCCTCTACTTCTATTGCCACATCACTAAGAATTATGCAATAGAGTCTGCCTAGTATCAGAGTTATCAATTTTCAAAATGAATCATCTATTCTAGTGTAATACATTTTACTTTGGTACTATTCCTTCCTTTCATGAAAGATGCCTGCTTATTTCTGGCATCTGGTCCTGATGTGCGTTTGAGAAGCCTGAATAACCTCTGATTACCAGTACTGACTCAGTGGTAAAGAAACAGAAAAAAAAAAAAAAAACCAGGAAAAAAAAAACCAACCCTGAGCACAGAATCATGAACTCTTCCCTAGCTCTGATTTTCATACACTGCATAAGGACAAGAAGAATGCCAGAAAATGTGTCAAAAATGATTACATTCTGCCATGATAGGAGCTGTGCAAGACACAAAGAATTCTACTGATGAGTAGAACAGCTGAGAGTAAACAAACTCTCCCTGAAAGTTCAGTTCACATTTAAAAAAAACAAATCACACAGTAGCAATCCAACCATGTTTATCTTCTCCAAATTTTGGCAAAGTAACTACAGGAGCAACAGCTATCATTTGTATGACACGCAGGCTGCTAGCCTGTGACAAATGTTATGCTAAAACCTCTCAGATCCTTTTCTAGGTGCAACATTTACTATGCCCGCAGTGTTCGTTAGCAAATTCCTACTAACTGGTAACAACCAATTACCACATACCTTCTCCAGTTCAAGGGCGTCCCTCCTCCCAGCGGCTTTTCTTTAGCCCTCCTTATGACTACGTGCTGCAAGTCCCCCCCTCTGTTATTGTGGTTTATCTTAAACCCGAGCAGCAAACCTTGTCCAGTAGAGGCAGACAGGTCTCTTGTCAAACCCAGACTTTACTTTGAAAATTTAATTTTTCTCTAAACACATACTTGATCTTAAAACCTAAAGAACCCACCAGTTAACGATGACAATGAATTTTCTGTGAAAATGGATCTTCTTTCGCATTTCCTTGAAACTCTCCCAAAACTATGACTTTTCCTGAGCTTGGCAAGTTCTATTTTACTTAGAATTCATGCAACCTACTTGTTGGTTTGCCTTTGGTGTTGTATGACCATGTTTTTTTCATGGATAGTTTCCAGCAATGCAGTGGCCAGTGATTTGAGATCTGAAATGGACTGTGGTGTGGCTGGTAAGCTACATCCATGATCCTCCGACAACAACTCTTGGACTGTAATATTAAAAACACAAATGAGTTTTGGCTTCTCACGTAGAGAGACATGACACAAGCATTTACTTAGCAATAAAGAACTTTCTCATTACTGAAATTAATACAGATTTTGTTCCTTTCACTTACAATCAAACCAAAAGCCCAGAAATGTAATCTCTAGCTGGCATAAAGATGGTGGCTTTCTAAGCTCATCATTATTGCACAGCAATTGCCACAACAAATACAGGCAGACATACCTTATGTTAACTCTGCTTTTGGAAAATTATTTTTGTTCAGAAGGAAACAAGCTCATTCTTCTACAGGCCTACAGATCAGTAAAAATTGGTCATTTCTCTCCCACTTACATTAGAACATAAGCCCACAAAGAAGATTTTATATTACTTTTAAGAATAATTACATCCTTCAGGTTATTTAAGACTAATGCTAAAATATAGTCAACTGTGAACTTTTCCTCTGCAGCTTTTAGAGCCTGTATCTCTCAACTATATCAGACAGTTTGCTAGTACCACTAACTTCTGTAGCTAGAATCTGGCTGTGCCCCTTTTTGTATATAATATAATTTATCTGTATGTATGAAAGTACATGGAGAAGAGGACAGAAGAGAAGTCAAAAACAGGACAGCAAGTTTCAACCTACCATGACAAATGCTACTGATCTTGTGTGTATGAATACACCGACACCTAACAGTAGGGTGCCAGGTGTACAGTTTTGCTCAAAGAATTTTCTCTTCCCTTTTCTTTCCTAACCTTGGTATTTTCTTTGAAAGGTGGAAAAAGAGATTACTCCGTTTTGCTACCCATGAAGAAACATGGGACAAAAGGCTTTCTTGCAAAACATCAGAATGTAAAAGCTTCTAAAAAAAGTAGCAGAAAACCTGACTTAGGGCCTCTCCTCTGCCACCTTGTCTATGAATTGACTAGGAATATGAATTGTGATTATCATTCTTAGCAGAGCAAAGAGAATGAACAAGTTATTTGTCAGGATAAAGTTGCAGAAAGGTTTACAGATTTTAAAAAAAGATAAGACAGGGGAGAGAATGAATGACAAAAGAGTAACAAAAGGAGCAGCAGTACTGAAGAGGCAAATTTCATACTCTCAAGTCAACTGAAAAAAGGACAAAAAATTAACACATAATAATAAACAGGAAAGAGAAGAAAGATTTTGATTTGGCTGGTAAGGAAAGGGTTACTGAAATTAAGGGGTAAGACAGAAAGAGGAAGGAATTCAGTAGGATAAGCAACATGTTGCACTGATGTAATACCTTGCTTTGCAGACAGGACTCCAGTCAGAGCACTGCTGCTGGATCTACCATGAGTCTTTGAGTTCTTTCGTCTCTCTAGTGCAGCCTAAGGAAACAACAAACATCCTGTTTAGAAAAACAGTAGCAAACAAACCCTTTCATTAAGAGTAAAGAAACTGGAACTTTGTATTTTGGTCTCAGAACAACTCTGCAGGCCCTAGAGCTTGCACCCATAGTAACTCATGGGAGTGTGATCCCTGGAGTACTACTGTCCAGCCAGAACAGTCTTTGCAATGTTACAGATTCTTTCTATCTCACCGCTCTTTACTGTAGTCCCCAACACCCACAACCCCAACACATTTTTAAGACTTGCCTACCGTTTAATCATCTGAGTGCCAGTGAATATACTGCAGTATCCTGCAGAGAGTAACAGTTGGGAGCAAAATCAGACTTTTCCCAGCATTTCTTTGGCTAGGCTTCAAAGGGAAAGCTCAGGCTCCTCTATCAGTATCTAGAAGCTCTTTTAGTAGCATACTGACTTTCAGGAATTAGCAGCAGAATGATCCTGCTACAGAAGTCCAGCTCTTCCAAAACAACTGCAGTTCTGTGAAACTGAGTCCACCAAGATGCTCACTTCTTACCAATAAACTAACTCACACGCCGAGACACCCAAGTCATAAGTGTGAACAGACACTGAAATCGGTACTTCGAGGAGCTTTGTTCACGCACAAAAAGCAATTAGTGCTGTGACTGTTTCATAGTGACCTAAATGGTTAAGAAGTCCCATTGACAGTCCTAAGACAACCCTTCTCATGCCCTGACAAGCAGCCCTCCTCTCCCACACCCCAAAATCACTTGCAGAAGGAAACAGAGTGCTTGACCTCAGGAAGAGCAACAGTATTTTTCCCTCAGGATTCAGTCCTGAAGGTTTCATGTCAAACAGCATGTATCTTAAGCCAGGAATGGAAGAACAATGAAGACTTAGCAATCATTAAGACATCTGAAGAAATGTGTGGCCATTAGGGAATAGGGAAAAGATGCCTGCTTGTGACAGCAACACAGCTGCAGTCATTCACCACCCACTGCATGACATGCTACTTTTTACCTACCATCAGGCTGGAAGGCTGATCACCCTCCCAGCAGCAGGAGAGCTTCAAATTAAAATACTTAGTTCATTTTTCTAAATACTCAGTGTGTAGCCTTTTGTACTGCATCAGCTAAGAAGCCTACAAGGAAGACTGAGCATGTAATACATACTAATATGGTCAGAATGTTAATGATGGATTTTTCTTTGAAGACACAGTTTTGTTCTTTAAATGTATATGAACATGAGAATGAATAATAACCTCTGTGAACAATGAAGCACAGTTTAGATGATAGACTGAAAGGATCTTACCTTATATTTAGTAATATTAGACTTCAGAAGGTTGACTTCCTCTTGAAGTTGTTTTAATCTTTCTTGAAGATACCTGAAAAAGAAACGTAATCCTTTACTTCATGTTACCTTCAAGTACTGCCTCAAGCACTCCCCTTTACTATTTGGCATGTCCTGTCTTTGAACTACTGAGAGGTTTTTTCCCTCTGCAGTTCTGTGAGGGATAAAATAACAAAATCTTACTGCTCTTGACCCCATAAAACTTTAAGTAGGGAAACAAATGGCATCAGGAAAGGAGGCTGCTCTTTGGTTCGATTTGTCCAGCATGATGCACAATCATTTTATATCAGTCCTTAGGTTTTGGGGGAGGGAAGCTAGAAGGATGTATTTATGGCTAGATGAAATAGGAAGCATTTAGTCGTGTCCTCTGTACTTGAAGGTTTGTGAGATGGACACATGAAGATTTGTATATATGTCAACACAAGACTCAACTATGCAGAACATTTGCATTGCAATATCCATCACTTACATGGCACTTCTCATTAGCAATCACAAAGTAGAAAATTTAACAGTATAGTTGAAAAAATGGTGTAACTGAAACAGTACAGTTCTTCCTAATACAGTTTATGCGCTTGGATTAGATGGCTATTTCCACATAGGAAAATAGGTTTTTCATGTATAAAGGGTTTATGAAATACCCTCTTTCATGTAGTGCAACTGCAACGGAATTAGGGTTTGTGAAAATTTAAGTATTTCATAGGAAAAAAAAAGTCATCTCACTGCCAGGGAAGCAGGAGGCTTAAATTGATACAGAACTCTGTAGGCCACCAAAACAGAAAAAAAAAACCTGGAGTTGCTGGGAGGAAGCAATGCCTTTGGTGTTACACTTTCCTATCTGAAGTATAAGTCTCTATAAATGGAAAGTGTCCTACAAGATCTATTTCACTTTAAGGCAATTGTTGACATTAAGGGAGTTGTCTGCTATGGCTCTGTCAGTGACTCTGACTCTTAGCAGAGACCATAAACCACATTTTATTCCCAAGCAAGTGGCAAAAATATCTGTTAACTTTTATTCTTGGATCTATTTGATCTGAAGTTTTGTTGTGACTGACTTCCTGATGCTCCTATTAAAGCAATACACTGCTTGTTCTAGGGTAAGAGTAAGGTTGCAGTGCACTCACCTGTTCTCCATACACAGAGCATCTACATCAATGATACGGTTTTCATGCCCTCCTAAGACATGATTAAGTTCTTGGTTTAGTCTGTCAGACTTATCCTGGTAAAAAGAGCGTTCCTCTTTCACATCTTGTAACTCATCCAGTGCAGCCTGAAGATCATATCTCAGAGTCTCAATCTGAGAAAAAAAAAGGAGAGCAGTATGACTATTTTGACATTTAAACAAACAACTACATAGCACCCAAATGGAAAACAACAACAGCACTGCACTGCATGTCTGAACAGGATTGATACGGGACAGTTAAAAGTCTTTCCAAAGCTCATAAGCCCTGGTACTTTCACTCTATTTTAGTATTATTTGATTAATTTGAAGTTAAGTAACTTTAGCAGTTAAACTTGTTTTACAAAACTTCTAGAAAACAATTAAAATGTAACAGCAAAAGAAACCTTAATCCATACTATGCTTCTGCTACAAACATATGAAACTGGTTTTAGCATGTTATTTCTAGGAATTGTGGAATGAACTCAACTGAGTAAGAATCTCACAAATTTGGAAGATGATAAAAAAAGTCTGTAAGGGGGAATATATACTAATGTACTAATTTCAGCAATAAAGTTCCACAGAACAGGAAAAAGAACTACAAAAAGTATAAAGTAAGCCAGTATGGAGCTGACAGAGTAAGCTTTGCTATAGCAAAAAGGTGAAGGCGTGCAGCTCCTTCAAGAATAAAGAGCTTCAAACTTCCAAGAGGAAGAAACAGAGAGTGTGAGAAAAGTCTGCAATGAGTTGAGAAGTCTCCACTGGCACCTAAGGAAACACTGGTAAGTCAGGAAGGAAAATAGAAGACCATGTGAAAAGAGGCCAGATGATGAACAGGGAGAACATGAGCTTGGGAACAGAGATACCAGGGAGAATCATACTGGAAGAAGACCAAGTGCAGCCAACAGTCCTTCTGGCAAGCTAAAGTAGCACTGCACTCGAGTGAACACTGAAAAACAAGAAATATACCTTCTCCTGGATTACAGAATGGCTTATTCAGGGTGGAACTGGTAGGAATGAATGCATGAACAGAGCCACCCAAAATTTTACAGAAAGTTATCTATCAGGATTAGGGAAGCAGTCTGATGAACTGGATGCTGCATGGTACACAGTATTAATACAGGCAGGGAAAAGAGGCATGGTGCAAGAAATTTTCAAAAGACAAAGAAATAGCTAAGAGTCAGGAGGAAGAGGATACTAACAGCACTATTACAGACAATTTGATTTGGAGAGTATCTTTGGGAGTTGCATTAGCCACCACATATTGTGTTAAATACTTGTAACAGCTTTCATTAATAAGTCTCTTTCATCAACATGCATCGACAATATTTAATTGTCACAAGTTGTTGCTGCACATTATAAAAAGGGGAGATCCAATAATCTAGAGAAGAAATTCCTGGGAGTAGGAAACTCACTCTAACCATGCATGCATGATTAAGTTAGTGCTTAATAACAACTATTTCAGTAAAAATCCCAACATCCTCACCACTATTTGCAATGTTAATCAGCTACCAGCCCTCCAAACACAACAGAAGCAGTAATTTACTTGTGACAGCACTAGCTCTTTAAAACACAACAATATATGCCCATTTAGTTATTACTTGCTCTCGAGCCTTCTCCAGTTGCTGAACAAGGTCCTCCCGTTCATGTGCTGCAAAGTGGCGAGCCCCAACTTCATCATCTCCAAGTCTTTGCTTTGCTATTGTCATTCGAAGGAGCTGACATTACAAAAACAGATTTGGTAAGCAAGAGAACACAGGCTATAGCATCACGGTACATTTGCATTAGGAAGAGCAAAGCCGTTACAGAATTCATCTCTTCTGGGCCAAACAGCTGGTATTATTTAAACCAGAGGGAATTTTCTGAGCTGAAGGCTCAATCTTGTTCTCAGTGAAAACTTCCAAACACGCAAATCATCAGTGGGAGCTGAATTAGCCCCTGCAACAATAGTCACCAGAGTACACAAAGATGAAAAACCAAATAAACACTGACACCTGATCAATGTTTTTAAGGAGCGACAGGATCTAATCCTGGTCAGACTAAAACTAGAGAATTCTCAGAAAGCCATTTTCGGATGTAAATCTTAGAACTCTCTGCAGCAGAGATCTCCTACTTAAGAATAAAAAGGCACAAAGTGGCTTGCTCAGCTTCATTTTCTGATACCACTTAAAACCCCACTGTGCCACATCAGTGCAGAATTTGCGTTAACAGCTGCTAATACATTTTCTTGTGCGTTATATTTTTCATCTACTCACAAAAGTTAATTAATTTTAACATGAATTAACAAAAAAATAAGCCAACAACAGAAAGACCTGGCCAAATGCTAAACAACTAATGAAGTCATGAACTTTGTGACTGCAGAAAACAGCCTGACTTGAATTAATACACAGTTATATTTGATATCCAAAGCAAAAAGCAACTAGCTTTTAAGAATCATGGAGCATTAAAATAACAGTCTATAAGGCATTCAGCATTTACAGTTGTTTATGCTGAGTAAAACAAGGCAAAAGTGTTGCCTCCCCATGGCCTCATTTATAGGAGCTTCACAGAGACTAGAGAAACCCACCACAATAACCAGCCTGACCTTCCCCGTATCTTTGACTGCACCAAGGAATTAATGTACATCATTATATTGCAGAGTTAGAAAAAAATCAATCTTCTGAAGTAGAAGATTGTACATTAAAATCTATCTTTGGTATTTATGGGATGCCAGTCACCATAGCTGCAATGTGCCAATTAAAATCCTGCTGATGCAAGACAGACTACCAAAATCATCCTTGCCACTTATTTCAGCTCCAGTTCAGTGCAAGTCACTGAAGCTAGTACAACTTGCTCTGATAGCACTTCACTTGTTCAGAGAAAGCTGTGCCCCCAAAAGTAACTGGTTTTGGCAAACTACATCTCCCTGTCCCCACAGGGAAAGTACAGACCACGGCACAGTAAGGCTGAAGAGATCCTAGGAGATGTAATTCCTATTAATTTCCTTATCAAAACAAGTCAATCAAAAAGGCAATTAGCAAATCCTGGAATGGCTTCATAGCTATGGGATGTTATTTTTTTTTAACACTAAAAGGCTGATGAACAGAAGGTATAGTAATGTGCTTTAATTCATAGAATCATAGAATCATAGAATAGTAAGGGCTGGAAATGACCTTAAGATCATCTAGTTCCAACCCCCCTGCCATGGGCAGGGACACCTCCACTAAACCATGTCACCCAAGGCCCTGTCCAACCTGGCCTTGAACAGTGCCAGGGATGGAGCATTCACAACTTCCCTGCGCAACCCATTCCAGTGCCTCACCTCACTCACAGTAAAGAACTTCTTCCCTATATCCAATCTAAACTTCCCCTGTTTAAGTTTTAACCTGTTACCCATTGTCCTTTCACTACAGTCCCTAATAAACAGTCCATCCCCAGCATCCCTATAGACCCCCTTCAGATACTGGAAGGCTGCTATGAGGCCTCCATGCAGTCTTCTCTTCTCCAGGCTGAACAGCCCCAACCTCCTCAGCCTGTCTTCACACAGGAGGTGCTCCAGTCCCCTGATCATCCTTGTGGCCCTCCTTTGGACTTGTTCCCACAGTTCCATGTCCTTTTTATGTTGAGGACACCAGAACTGCACACAATACTCCAAGTGAGGTCTCACGAGAGCAGACTAAAGGGGCAGGATCACCTCCTTTGACCTGCTGGTCACGCTCCTTTTGATGCAGCCCAGGATACGGTTGGCTTTCTGGGCTGTGAGCGCACACTGCCAGCTCATGTTCATTTTCTCATCAACCAGGACCCCCAAGTCCTTCTCCACAGGGCTGCTCTGAATCTGTTCTCTGCCCAACCTGTAGCTGTGTCTGGGATTGCTCTGACCCAGGTGCAGGACCTTGCACTTGCCGTGGTTAAACTTCATAATGTTGGCACCAGCCCAACTCACAAGCATGTCGAGGTCCCTCTGGATGGCATTCCTTCCCTCCAATGTATCAACCAAACCACACAGCTTGGTGTCATCGGCAAACTTGCTGAGGGCGCACTCAATCCCACTGCCTATGTCACCGACAAAGATGTTGAACAAATTCAGCTAGATTAATTCAATTTCTAGAATCTCTTGCTAGTGACAGAGGCAGTAAGAAACAAATGTAAGTAACATTTTGAGGACTTAATCTTGCTCAGAAAAACTGGAAATGGGAAGGGGAAAATCACTTTACTAATGCCTCCAGTGCCTGCAGCAGAGCAGAACTTCTGCATACACTCGGCACCAGGCTGGGAACTGGATCAGAGCTGTGACTCATACACTATGAGCAGCTCTCCTCCAGCCCGGGAGGGGGTGACGCAGAAAATGCAATTATAACTTCAAGCAATTATTATTTGCAAGGTCAAAGAGTTTGCCAATGAAAGGAGAACTCTCAATTTACTACTGATTTTGAAACAAAGAGAACAATAAGGAAAAAAAGGTATGAAGTCTGATGAAAAGAATGCTTCAGGAATCCAAATTCAGCCAGTAAAAAGCGTTCTAAACATACATAAAGTAAAATACCAATCCATAAAACAACAGAGTGCTTCTTGCAGACAGTTGGCCAATCAGGGAGTTGACAGGGCAGAACAGGCCAAGTCCTTTAATTCTGCATTGCGAATGTTTCATGAGGAAGCACCACCTGCCATAAAAATCTCCCCTGAAAATGCTGTGACCCAAAGAGACACTAAGTGTTATGCCAGAGCATTAAGGGTTTATTTCACATATTAGTGCTTTGTTATAAACTTTATACACCTGCCCTCTGGCTGCTGTATTTTTATTTCAGTCATTCAGGAATCACTGAGGAAAAGAACGCTCAAGTTTATTTTGCAGCTAGAAAACAGGTTAACGCTATCCCTTGGGATTCTGTGAACAGCAGCCACAGCAGAGTGGATTTAAATTAATGGCACTTTATCAGAGATAGCTCCTGTTTGTCAAGAACCCATGGATTGTTAACCAAAACAATCCAGTGCTGCAAGCCACTAGTCTTTATTATTTTAATACCACAGCTTTTTCTTAATCAGTGTCCACTAAAATAATGATTTATAAAACAGCAACTCTGTAACAGCCCAACAATGCCCCAAATGGGCTTCACTGCAATAGCTGCTGTGCAGGCTAGGAGTCCACAAACAATGCCTGGGCCCAAGCTGTACATTCCTGACTCGCAATAAAACATGCAGAAGGGAAAGGGAAGCAAGCACAACCAGTAAATTCTTTGTGGAAGGAAGAAACCATTGTGCTTAGGCAGTCAGTGACAGCAACTGTCTTCACCACGGTGTCTACAAAATCTTAAAAAGTGGACCAGAACTATGCAAATTTGCTACTTTAAGTCCCAGTTCTGCCAAGACATATGCACCACATTTCACATTTCACACTGCTGCTGCAGGAATGATTGTCTGCCTTATAACAAACTGTCGGTAACACAGCAGCCATTATTTTCCATGCATCTTCTTCTTTCTTAGCACTGCCCTCGACAGCTTACAAAACCATTTATTTGTGTGGGTAGGCATTCAACTGAAGGTAACTGAGTCATCTACTCTTCCAGAAGCCTCTAGCTTCTCTTACACTTTCTATTTTTACCCTTTTACAAGAGAGAATTAGATTTCCTAACTATCTTCTCCTAAGTTTCAGTAATTGTTCTCCAAGCACGGCTGCCAGAACATTAGGAAGAAAAAAGGTTTACAAATAACTATCATAAACACAGAATAGTCTTCATAGTGTCAGAGTTGATAAGAGATTGTGATCAATCATAAAAATAAATAGTCTTAGGTATCTGTTGGTGGAGCGCTGCAGTCTACTGCTGTATTTCTCAAACTGCAGCAACAAATCCTTCCAGAAACTGCCTGAAAAAAAATTATCAGTGCCCACAGAATTCTAGTTGAAATTAAAGGAAAAAACCAATCCAGTTAAGCCAAATGCAAGTAATTTGTTATTGCTAACTAATGGCATACTTCATGTGATTTCAACACGTAAAATGTCACTAGTTTAAGGTCTTCTTGCTAATCCAAGTGACTGTATCCTACTAGCAGCAAACACTAAAGTCAAGGCATCAAAACATTCCCTTATTAATAAGAGCTAATGTGTGATATTTAAAGGGGTTTTTTTCTTTTTTGGTCCTACAAAGCTCTTGCCACCCAGTGACAAAGCCTGTATGAGTCACCCCTGCTCAGACACAGGCAGAATTGTTCATCCATAAGCAGCTTCACTTGCTGCAAAAGCAGCTGTTTGTTCATCTCTTGCCAGAAGTAAGGTTGACGTAGACCAGCTGGGCATGATGCCCTCCCTCACTCTGGAAAAAGCAGAGAGAAGAATGCAGGGGGAAAATGTAAGAACAAGCAAATTATTATAGTTCTTTGTTTTTGTATATACCATGCATTATCTGGACTCCAGTGCCTGAAGTAACCCAGCTGCCAGTACAGGAGAACTGATGAGCAGAACAGAATGGCTTCGGGAACAAGCCTAGAATTTTATCACGGAAGCTAGGAGGAAGCAAAATCTGACACAGGAGGAGCGTGTTAAATCCCTCAGAGAGACAGCAATGCTTTTTTAGGCACTTCAATACCCAGCAACCTGACTAAAATAAGCTCTATTTCTCATTTACTAGGAAAGTGAAGAATGTGTTCCAAAAATGAAAATCCTAGTCTAAATTAATCCCTGTCTGATGCTGTCCTTTCCTCCCCCTCTTTATTTAGTGATGCACTATTCTGCACCTTTAGGAAAGAGGCATGGTGGGCAGAATACCTGTTTTTGTATTTTTCCAGTCATTGTGAGGATTATGATTTTAAATTCATGCTGAGAATACAGATGTTACAAAGATGACCAGCTAATATCAAGTGAACCCACAGAGGCAAATCTAAACAAAGCCAGTTCAAGCACAGAAAAGTAGGCTCTGTGTCACCTAGACTATATTGTTATAAGCAACTGGAATAGGTACATAACCTTGATATTTAAATATGCCATAGTTTTACTACCTTTGTGTTCTGTTTGTACTTACAAACCCTTGTTATCTGTTCAGGACTGGCTTGGGAAAGGCTGTATGGCATAATATTGGTACTGAAGAACTGCAAGGCACTGTCTTCTACACTGTAATATAGTTGAAACAATAACATGCAAATGAAAAGAAACACTGAGAAAGCTGGTCTTTGAAGACTTGAGCAAGTGACAGTGAATGCTGTGCATGCTACAAATTCAGCTCTTCCTTGACCCTTTCCCAGCTCCCTACACACCTTCAAGGTAGTCTTTTGTGATAAATAATGAATAAAACTTCATTACCACGATATACTTCAGTTTAAAATAAAATAAGTAAAATTTACTTAAATGGAAAAAAAAACAAAAACAAAACAAAACAAACATCTGAAGAATTAAAAGCTGCATCATTTTTATTCACATTTTTAAATCCAGGAACTTTAAGCTGTAGTTGAGGGAGGAAAGTTATCATTCATTATTTGTTTCATTTTTTACTTCGTTAACCATCTTGACTCTCAAATTCAATCTCTCACTAGTTCTGAATGTACTTTTGCATATAGCTCCAGCTGTGAATGTTACACACATTTGGCTTGAGTTTAAATATTTCAATTAACAGAGACAACAGGAGTTTGATTAATACCAAATGGCAGATTTTGAGCAATGTTCCATATAACTCGCTAAATTTAGCAATAAAATATATTGGTTATGTAAGCGTAATAGGATGAGAGCTTAATACAAAGCTCACTGTATATGTGATCAACTCCTCCATATTTCTGAAGGGAAGAATTATGCCTCCTCTGGTTTTACAATCTACTAAAATCTTGCATTTTCATTGACAAAAAAATAATTATCGCATGATGAAGACAACATGTTTATCTGTACTTATTTGTAAGAGGAAATACCACTAATAAATTGTATTAAAAAGAGAAAGAATGTCTGAGAGCATTAAAGGAAGGCTAGGTACAAAATACGTACCTAAAGACAATGGAGCAAAAGCAGCATACAAAAATAATAAACTGCACTTACTCGTATCCTGTACAAGCTTCTTTTGTTCTACTGTTTTGAGTATTTACTGTAATCAAAGTATTCTAGAAGTTCTGTTACCCATTGTTTCATTTGTTTTCCTAAGAAGTAGATACAAAACTCCAACCCAGTTTGCACATTCCATGCCGTTTACTGATAACAAAAGTTATAATACCTTATTGTCCCCTTGTACTTCTCCCAGTCTCTGCTGAAGCTCTCTAATCTCTTCTCCAAGCTGCTTGTTTCGATCTTGAGCCTCACTCAGTAGTTGAGCAAGATTTGCCTAGAAAATAGTAAATATCAGTCAGAAGTTAGTGCCTATGGAGAGAAGTGCAAGTGGTGATTGAGAAGAAACCCTAGGCTTACTTCTTATCTGCCAACAATCTTTACTTTTATTGTTGTTGGTACCCGGACTTCATGCTTTATTAGAGAAATAACAACAAAAGTCACCAGGGTTCCTATAATAGTAGGAAAGACTACAGCATGTGTGCATGCACACTCCCAGAACAGCACACAAACCCCAAACAAGACAAAGGGGAAACATCCATGCTAGTTCTGGTATCTTGGTATCTTGGCTGGGGGGAAAAGCAAAATACAGAGTACTTTGATAATATTTATACAAAGTTGCCAAAATAATAGTTTTAAACGTGCATATAATTAGACAAAAGCCACAGCTGAGAAATAATTGTTACATAATTAAACTCCCTTACAGTGCTTAGAGCAGACTCCCAGCCAGTAAAGAGGATGCCAGCCAGAGTCCCTACCCCTATATGGTGCTGTACCATGGATATCTAGTAGCACAAAGCTTCAAATGTGATGTTAGCTACTATGTAGATATCCAGAAAAATAAAGGTGAAAGCTAGAGATTAATAAACAAACCCTCCCCCCCACTCCCCCCCATCCCCCCCCCCCAAATAATCCAGGTCAAAAGCTACCATAGACATTAACCTATTGAGTTAGGATGGCAAGGGGTCTAGACTATAATTTTACAATTAAATTCCAACACTTTGATGGCTAACAAAAAAAAAAACAAATGCAATCACCTCCTTTCCTATCTATGATATCTTAAAATATCATAGTAAATACTACAGATAAATTGATTGTATTTTATCCTAAAAATATCTCATGAATACACAAACATTGACCCAGCATAGGAAAAGCCTACCACTGATATCTCTTCAGGGAGATAATCACAGTGGCTAATGTGCAGCCTTTCAAGACATTGCCTATGAACAGCTATGTGTGTCATCCATTGCCATAAATCTGAAGAGTATGAAAAGAAATGAAAAAAGAATTTTCAGATCTTCTAAGCATGACTTTGTAAAGCCCCACAAGTGAATATTTCTAAGCTATGGACTCCTTGGGTTTGAGGTCAATGCATCAACTGATTGTTCCCAGCCTTTTCCTGATATTTTAGGTTCAGGTTTAGATTCCCTACTTGCTGTGCTTCTCTTTCAACTATCCCATTTCTCTATTTTGATCTCTCTCTTCCTTTTTCAGTCCTGCTCTTATACCCAGTCATTCTCAGTACCACTTGACAGTCTCACAGGATGTTTTTGTGAGGTTTACATTTAAAATGAGGCATCTAATAGCCATTCCTGCAATTTTTCCCCTTATTTACTAACAGCTGCTATTTCAACACGTCCTGTTTTATAATTGAAAGAACCAGTAACATGAATATATTAACATGAATATTAACATGCATATATCTATGTGTGTATCTGGGCATTTGCAAGATGAGACTACTAAACTATTAGACTATCATCAACTGGAACTTTGGTATGCTACTATATGATGACACTGGCTTCAAATTCCCACTGGTCTAAACCAACAATAGCTTCAAACTTTAAGCAGGAAAAATAACTTGAGAAACTGTAATCCTATCTGATGAACAACAAGCCTAATTCACTGCTACAAGCTTCTGTACTTCTGGTGCTTCAAGCTCAAAAGTTCAGAAGAAAATAAGGTAAGTTTCCCACAGTTTTGGAACAGATTAAAGTATTTTTTAAACTACTGATAAACCTAAAGACTGCAAATAAATAATTTGGGAAAATAATGTAATAGCAAAAAATGTAAACAGCCAATTATAGGGCCAAAATTAAGCTGCCTCTAGTTTTGTTTTCAAGACAGCAACCATTCAAGCAGTGCAAAAGGTTCTTCAAGTGTGCTTTGGTGTACTGAGTTCATTTTTTAGTACATGTTCAACAAATTGTAATATTCATATACTGAATCAATCAAGGAGTTTCAGAACACAGTCAATCAACGGTTTTGAGAGGTACTTCTTAATGGCTGCTTAAAAGAAAGAAAACAAGTAACCTGTTTGCAGGAAATTGTATTTAAACTGAAGTACCTGATCAGATGCCTTTTTGTTAAAAAAAGGTGACTTTCAGTAAAGAAACTCAGTCAAAAAGAACATGATTTGCACAAACCTTTCTGAAACGATTCAACTTATAAAGTCCCTTTTTATGATGAATTTGAACAACTCCTAATGCAATAGCACATGTAATTTCAACACCTGGGAAGAACTCAAACTCACTAATCAGTGTTTACAGCCATACCATCAGGACTCTAGCAGTCTGTAGTCAAAACCCAGCTCTCGGCAACCGCAGAAAAGGCATTACCATGCCTGTACTAAATCTTCCTGCTCAAATTTATTTCCTTTAAAACCATTTCTCTGGGATTGCAATTCTATGCTGAATTTTATTTGTCAGTCATATAAATGACTTAATGTGACAAAAACCTTTATATTCGAGATACTGATTTTGGAGGGAACATTAAACAGAGAATTTTAGATACCAAAAAAAAAAAACAACCCAGCCTCATTTAAGCATTCTAAGAGCATTACAATGAGCTAAAAACAGAATAACTCCTTAACGTAAAGCTTCCATTATACTTCTGTTAAACTAAAACAAGCAAGCTATGTCACAGAAGTAGTCTCCAGTAATTATTCATTTCCCTGGCTTAGAGGTTCCATACAACATATAATTTAGATTGTTCCAAGTTTTAAAGGTTTTGGCAAGACCTCATTAAAGCCCTTGTTTGAATATGGGTAAAGGGAGAAATACTGGATTTTCAAAAGTGCTCTAGTGGGCTTAAAGGGAACTAGCCAAGAAGACATGGTGAACGACACCTGGACTTTGTACCATTTCTTTGTCATAGCTAAGAAAACATACCATATGGCTGAAAGATGATAAAACTAACAATGGAAGACTGGCTTCGTGAATCTGTAAGTATGTATTTTTTTGAGGAGAGGGGAGCAATCTATGCAAGGAGAATGGCAATTCATTTTTCCACCTGACAATTTCTTTTCAATATTCATAGAACAAACACAGAATTATCTTAGCAATTCAAGACAAGTTATTTCAGCTGACAATAAAGCCTGTATCATTTACCTGTGCAACAGAGACAGACTGTCTGAAGATCAGCCAAATTCATCTTCTCTAGACTCTATTTCTTCAACAGTTTCTTTTGATTCTAGTTGAAGCCTTAAAGACTCCTGTAACTGTCACAGACTTTACTTCTTTCACTCACAGTATTCAAAACTAACTCCAAAGTACTGATGAAGAGAGATTTCTGAACTGTGGGTAATGGGAGGGGAAGACTCAGAGGTCTATACATTTCTGCTGCTTTATTTTGCTTCCGCAACAACCCACAGCAGTGGAAACTGTTTCTCCTACCCTCTCACAATGCAACTGTTTGTAATACTAAATAACAGTGCTTCACTGGAGTCTGATTAACTGCCTGGTATCACAGCCTTTATAGAGCTCTGTCCACCTCTGGCAACGTTCAGTTTCCAGCAGATATTCTTGAGCATCTGCAGCATGAAAAGCTATTTTTTTTTACATCCAACTGTCATGGAAGCTTGCATGTATCACAGAATCACAGAATATCTCATATTGCAAGGGACCCATAAGGATCAGGGAGTCCTGCCTCCTGCATGACCAGCTAAAACTAAACTGTATGACCAGGAGGGTTGCCTATAGACACTTCTTGAACTCTGACAGGCTTGGTGCCATGACCATCTTCCTGGGGAGCCTGTGCAAGTGACCAACCATCCTCGCAGTGAAGTATGACTTGGCACAGTCCAAACCTTCACTGCAGTACTACACTTAAGAAGCTGCACCCGTATTGTTTTTTCCTCTGACCAAAATCAAGCACAACCATAGCCAACGATCCCACTAGAAGCTAAGAAGAAAGAAGAAAAAGACTGACGTGAGGGTGCCAAGTGGGAAGGGCCTACCTTTCTTAAATAAGGGGGAAAACAGCACCATAAATCAGAATAGACAAGAAAGTGAAAGATTCAGTGGGATGGAAGCACAGACCTCACCCTTTTTCACTTAGACTTCCTTAGTCTAGCCTTCTACTTAGACATTTGCAAGAATGTGTTTGGGATAGAAGGTGAAACAGAACTTTACTTCCAGCTACAGATGAGCATCTGAAACCACTGATGAAAATACCTATAAGTATTTATTAGCATTAGCCAGCGAATACCTGTCAGACAGCAACAGTTCTTTGCTCACTATTGACCAATGACCCAAGAAGGGAACATATTTTCCAACAGGGAAAATAAAAAGTAACTCCAAATACTCATCCCTGGCATTATGCACTACACTTGAATTTGGCTCCTTTAACAATTTTGCAAATCTAGCTACACATACACACAGTGTTATTTTTCTTCACACCACTTTAAAAATGATGGATAGTAACACAGACTTTAATATAGCTCTCAATTCTCTTGCACATAAATCTTATCCGACATTAAAAATACAAAAAAGAGAAAGTTAAAAAACCAGGACTTTCTGCCTTTAGATACTGCCTGAAAAAGTAATTTGGTGATGGAAGAAGAAAAGGAAACTTCCAACATAACCTTCCAGTTTAAAAATATTTTTAAACACAAACAAGCATTTCTATACTGCAGTTTACAGTCATTTATTTTAAGTTTCTTTCAGCCACACCTTCAAACAAAGAAGAACATCGAATTATAGGGCTGACAGAAAAAAAGTTGGATGAAACATTAAGCGCACTTGATGGGTGTGACTGATAGCAAATTTAATTGCGGTTTCTCCTCCAATGCATTCATATGATTGCAATGGCTGAATTAATATGGAAAAACCTGCTTTGCTTACCAACTACCACTGTTCACTTCAAGGTGCAAGAACTGATATCCTCCCCCAGCAATAGCTTCCTTATGATAAAAAGCAAAAATCATTATATTTTTTTCTTTAAGTTGAAGAACCATGTAGAGAAGACTTCTGAAATTATAGGTCCTGGGCATACTAAACA